ATCCCATAAAATCCGCAGTAAAGAATTCATAGAATCCACTAAACATCTCAAAAGAGTAGTTGAATTGACAATTCGATCAATTGCTATTGACCATCATTGTGTCAAGTGGATAATCAAACAAATGCCATGTTTGTCAAAGCTGATCTTTTATTGCTGTTGTCCTGGTCATCGTATTTCTCAAGGACATTTCATGGATTACCATACAAAGTGCGATAGAGTTTGTCAAGAGAATGGGATAACTTGTAAGATGTATAATTATCCTTGCCGGGAGCATGACTATGCAACAAGAAGACGTCAATCGATCAAATTATCAGCACTTTTTTGACTCAAGGGAAGCAAGTCGTTCTCCTGAGTCGCCTCATATTTAAAACAGGATGCTTGGTCATAACAGTGAACTGTTCTTCTGAATAACTGATCTTGTAGTACGATTTTTTTCCGGGAAAGTCACGATTTTGAGCTACAGTGTTGACAATCTCACAAGCAAATGTGGGGCCCTTCCATCTTTAAAATAATTTTGTTCCTGGCAAACGGTTTTTAGGGTCAAAAAAGGCACTTTTTTTTAGTTGGGAAATTTTTATTTACCTAGAGAGTTTTTTTTTCCTGAATTTCTCGCTGGCAACCAGTTGTGACTTACAGCTGGCTGGGACATATAAAGAACAGATATATTTCTCCCAGGAACCCGTCGGCTCCTCCTACACAGAAGTGCAGCTGCCTTAAGAAAGGAGTACCTTCATAAAAAGAAGTTCCAGCAAAAAAAGCCTTGCATCTCAAAGTTTTTATAAAATCTCATTAATTCATGTAAAAACAGAGCGTGTCTTTGTCCTCTGATATGAACACGGTCGTCGACAAACAGAGTGTGCGTTATATATCAAAAAATTTATAATTAAGATTACTAGAAGGTCATATACATTATTGGAAATCGTCAAATGTTTTCGAACTTAACAGTTCATCTTCAGGATTAAGTAACATATAAGATATGAGCGGGAGACCTTTATGGGCATTTAAAACTGCGAGCTGCAAGCGAGCAGTTTTATAGCCCATAAAGGTCGGACGCGAATATTTTATATTGCTTATCAAATTACAACATAAGCTAAAGCATATTTCGAAAAAAACTTCAGGATAAAATATCATTTGTAAGAGAAAATCGAAGTTAAAGTCGTATGCAAATCAGGACAAATCTCTTGCTCATATAAAGATGCGGTCACGGCAATGATTTTCCATTGTGTTTACCTTATGAATTATTAATGAATTTGATAACATGTAATATTGAGATGTATTTGATAAGACCTATTATGGAAGAGTGCCCGGTGGTAAAAGTACTGGGGATGCTCGTCAGAAATTTTCAAAAAGACCGCGAAAAGAATCCAGAAGTCTTCAAATAAAAGCATAGCTGACAACAAACATTGTTAAATTAAATCAGTTCAATGATAACAACGCAGAGGAAAATCACGCTAAAGAGATTACACGCTAAGAGATTACAGAAAACGCAACTTTCCAGAAACTCCAAATTGGCACCCTAAAACATTCTAAATCACGAATTTTCACCCTTAAGAGATCCGACAATAATCCCCGGTACTTTTACCCCCGGGGAAGGGTGTGGATGATCATCGTATCTGTTAGGGGTAAGAATCCAGGATCTGGCATATTTAGGGTACCTTGAAGGTTTTCATACCACCCGACGGATAATCTGGTATCTTTTAGGGTGTCCTTTAAGATAATCAGCATAATAAGTAAAGATAACGAAAACATCAGTCAGCTCACTCATTTAATTGGGTTTAAACAAACATTTTTAGTTGATATCTTTTAGGGGGGGTGGGGGGAATTTTGTGTCACCACGGCCTTTTTCATAAGGGCCTGGTATCTTTTTAGGGGTATTTTTCGTTCCAGAGGAGGAAAAAAAAGTGGCCTGGTGAGAAGGGTAGGTCAGCCTATGGTTAGCCCGCAACTCAATCTCGAGCCCAGAGTCTTCACGACTAATGTCAGCGGTATTCTGACGCCGGAAGACTGGGTAATAATGAGGTCAATTTTTTTAAAAAAACAAAAATGTGTGAAAATGTATGGTTATGCGTTAACAGTATGATTTTCTTGACTAATGAGTACAACTTTTATTGAAACAGAAAAAAAAATTAAATTCATTCGTACAATTTGCACATTTTCCTAATTTTTGACTGAACCTTGGAAATGTGAATGAATGGCTGCTATATTCTCTAATGCATTATCTCCGCAGTACGTGTTATAATAGTACCCTATTTTCAAACGTACAAAACATGTTTGATTTTGAACCAGTCAGAAAGCAATTTTCAAAAAACTAATAAAAGAATTGGAAAAGGTTCTTGGCATGTCTTGGGTTCATGTGTGACTTGTAATTTAAAAGTTCTGTTCAAGAGTGAACACATAAACTCTTTTTACGTAAGTTAACACAAAAAATACTTTGAAAAAATTATTCCGCTTATTGTTCTGTTGTAGAGAAAACGCGCCCAGTAACTGGACAACAGTTCTTGTTACGCGCGCAGTAGACGTGAGTTAAGACTCCGTTGGGATAACGAGCGACGGCTGGTTCGTTGAATGGCCGACGACAGGCTTGACACAATCTATAAAATAGAC